CCTTGAAAAAAGTCACATATTCCATGAATTTTTGATGTACTATCTTGACATTAATGTAAAACCTTGATATTTAATAAAGTATAGAAGATGACTGCTGCATAGCATGCAAATTGCTCAGACTGATCAAAAAAGATACAGACATATTTAAACTAAACAAACACTTAATACGTAAAAAAAATCAGATCTAGCTTTTACAGGTTCACGCAGCTAGGTCTCTACAGATTAGCTTTCAAATGTGACATTATCCACTGCGTGAACCCTAATTTTAACTTACCAAGTCTGTATGAAGTAGTTTCAGAAAGTTGGGAGGGGAAGCTTTAAATAAAAAATGGGAACATGAAAATGTGAATATATTCATTTAGATGCAGGTCCTGACATTCTACTGAAAGAGTTATTATAAAGAACAAATACCATCTATTTCGTTACCCTTTCTGTGAAAATATTGTCAGAGCTGGCAATCAGGGTGATGACCACTGCAAAAACAAATAGTGGCATGCTGAATTTCATTTTCCTCCTGATGCTGCTATTCCTAAAAAAAAAAAAAAGGAATAAAAAAAATGCTTTTTTCCCCTTCAGTGTTCCAAGCCTTCTTTGAGACATTTGGAGGATATCTCAAAATAACCAGAAATATTAAAAAGTAACAGTGATTGCTGCCAGATTGTCTGCAGCCACTGTGGAAAGAGACAGTTATTCTAGTCACCTAAAACATTATCAGACTAGAAGCCAGTTACTCAGTATGGCAATCAGAGAGGGGGGGGAGGGGGCGGGAGAAAAGGAAAAAAAAAAATTAAAAGGACACTTCCAGACATTTTTTTCTCTTTCTGTGAAGCAGCAATATCCAGGGGTTCACGCCTCATGTTTAATGTCTCTCAAATAAGCAACACCCCCCCCATGTGCCATAGGGGCCTCTGTGCCAATAATTTCCCCATCACGTTTTTGGATGGACATCACAAGATAATGATTCTCAAGTCCCACAGACTAGATGCTCGGGGACTCCTCCACTTTTGAGAGGACTCGTTTTCATTTGAATGGCATGAAGGCTGCAGTGGAGAAAGGGGGTGCGCCTTTCTGGCTGAGAAGCCACATAACCTTCACTTCTGCTGTCCAGCCTAAGGGCATTAGACCCCTGTAAAAGAGTGGCCAGACTATCAGAGGCAGTAACCCCCTCCTCTATTCAATCATAAAATGCTAAAGCTCATTTATCAGAGCTCCTAATCTTGATGGGCAATTTCTATTAAAATTAGCTTAATATTTGCTTGTTTACCAAGTGATGCAAAGTACAAGTCCTATTACTGTAACACACAATAAAATGTCTCAGTAGAAGGAAAATTTAAAGTTTACATAGTGTTAAATCTGTGTTCTTATCTACACTACTAGATGCCTTGAAAAGAGCTAATGTATTTTGATGTGAAGTCATATTGAACAGTATATTCCTTTGTGCTATTAACCCTTGTATAATCCAAGTAAAAAAAAATTAACTGAATCACTGGATGTGATCAAAGCTAGGTTTTTTTATAAAAGGGCACCACCTTTTAGCTGAAATAAAGTGACCATTGGAGTCACCTACTACTCCACTGTAACACCTAGTTAAAAAAAAAAAAAAAAGATTAAAAAAAATCCTTGCTTTGTTTGGTTTCCTGAGCTTATAGACACAGAGATGCTTGGATTTCTGTGAAGAATATTTCAAGTACTCAAAAGTCCAAGGTAAAGGTGTGGGCAATCACTGCATCAGTATTACTAAATGAAATTTCAGTATTTTCAAAAACCTCTTGTATCCCATTGAAGTGGAGACAGCTCCATTTCTATCTCAGAAAAGTATCATAACAAGTGTTGAGATTATACTGAGGCCATCATTGCACACCCCTCACAGCCCCCAAAACACTATGGGTGCTTGAAACAGTTAAAGCCCAAACCAGTCTAAGCTTCCACCTTGTTAACTTTCATTCCTTTGAACATAAACCCCAAGGGTTAGTTGCTTTTGACCAAACAATTTTTTCCTCCTCTTCTTTGCGCATTCTCCCCTTTTCAATGTACTCATTAACATGGGGAGATTTCGTTATGAGCCTTGGTGGATGCTACTCGATGGTTTCAGGCCAATGTGTAGGTGTACAAAAACACAAACACACACACACTTTCAGGGCCAGAAGCAGGAAGATCTGTCAGCATGTGCTGGTTACTGTCCCTTTCCCAGCTCTGGAAATCCTTTGAAGCAGCAGCCTTGAAGAGAAACTCCTCTCTGTGGAGCTGCTGAGGCTTTAACTGCCCTAAAGCTAAGTAAAATAAAGAATTCAGAATGGAGGATCCTAGCAATCTACAGGGAAACAAGAATTCACTTTTTCCATTGGACATACGCTGCCTAACCTAATGAGGGAAGTCAGTTCACTGTGCAGGACAGGAGACAAAGCCAAAGATTATTTCACTTGGTAATAACAGTTTATAAGTACAGAGGCATGCTCTGGAATTTTCAAACAGCCCAATTCATGAAACACTAAGAATAACATCCACAAACTTGTGCTGTTATATGACTTTTCTGAGGGAAGAGAGATGACTCTACTTTGCAAAACCTAATAGAATGAAGCTTAAAATAAAAAAGGTACCACAGGATTGAAACTTATTAAATCTAAATAACATTCTTGCTTATTCTTTATGTCAGCAATTTTTATTTACTTTATGCCAATATACACAAGAAAGCACTGTTCCAGACTATTAGGGGATTCATGCAGCGGAAGCAAAGTGGAATGACTCCTTCTGGTGCAATGGAATTTAACTGCACAGTCCCTTTTTTCGTACCTTCTACCTGCAAAAATTGTTCTTAGTTAATGAAACAGCAGTGGCATAACAGACACACTCAAACCATTAACTACTAACTCAAGGGTCTGAAGGACTGACAACCCACTTCACATACAAAGTGGACGTTACCATTTGGTTGACAGTGTACACAGAAACAATTCTGAATTGACTGCAATTGAGTGCCCTGCCTACAATCCCGTGGCATCTCCTTTATTAAACAGGCAAGACAGCAGTGGAGTTCTCAACATCCACTTCTTGATCACTCCATTTACAGAATACTTCTTTAACATACATAACTCTGAAATACTAGTCTTTCCTAAAATAGAAGACGCTCAGAGTATTTAAATTATTGACCAAGTTTTCTTGTCCTTTCACAAAACCACTCAGAGCCCCATTAAGGGTTGAAGTGGGAGAAGCCAGGCTGAGACTGGACATGTTTTGCAGCGAGACAGATTCTCCACTCCCTCCCATGCCCATTCATGTAACAGAAAGACACACTAGGTCCATTATCTCCTGTGGTAAATCTCCTTATGAAATATGAGTTTATTGCTCATTTTGAGCCTTAGATTGATAGGTTCAGTCTGCAGTGCTTCATGCACACAGGTACCGTAAGATATCTACAGTAAATAGCTTCTTCGCAAGGGTCTGTGTCTGCATACCACAACATATCATTTACTCTTTAGGCTGTCCCTGAGGTGTAAGGTTCACCTTGAGCATTTTTCATTTCAGGAAACATTTTACCTTGTTAATTTCAGGAGCTGGACTTTGATGATCCTTGTGGGTCCCTTCCAACTCAGAATATTCTATGATTCTGTTTAGTGCAATGCACAGGCACTATGTTCATGCACAAATTCATCCCACAACTCTACTATTAATTGAGTGAATCACAAGCCACAAATAAAATGCTCTGATGGAAAGCCTGAAGCTAAATTCTTTGAAAGGACAGGGACAGTATTTTCTATTCATGAGCACTTCACAACCAAAGAGTTTCCTAACAAGCACCAATATTATGCAGTATGGCCAAAGTTTGGTTACCTGTGAATCAACTACTCAAGCCTACAAACAAATCATACCAGGAGCCATTTAGGTGGAAGCTTGGATCATGATCATCCCCGCTGCAAAACTGCTATGGCATGTGGGGCATGGTAAGTCCTGGAACCAGATGTACTGGGACTACAGTGGCACACACATCCAAAACTAAAAACTTGTCATTTCCTTTTCAACTCACATTCAAACCGTAGTACAAGAAAATAAACTTTGGTTTACTTAGCAACATATCAATGTCCTACTGTGTGGAGTATTAGCATTGGGTCTGACTGAAGAGGATAATCCACTTTGTAATTTAGTTAAATTACTAATTTTAACAAAGATAAGTACCCTGTATAATTTTGCAGTGCTTAAAGAATACATCCTTTGAGTATTTCACTCTAAGAAACATCAGCTTGTTATCATATTTTAAATTTATGGAACATTTGTAACTGCTGTTATATCAAGAAAAATATTGAATCTGCACAATAAGTACAAACTTTATATGAGAAAGTATACTTGTAAGTGCATGATAATCTCCTGATGTCTGCTGAGGCACTCACTTCCACAACAGACACAGACAACATCTCCGGGGATAAACTCAAATGTCCCGGAAAGTGCAACTCAGTTAAAAAAATAAAAATAAAAGCAACTAACAGAAAATCAAACAAAAAACTGTCCCCACTCTATTGGCTGTAAAAAGAGATGCTTATCTGCATTCTCAAGCAGAAGAATGGTTGAGAACCCCATCTTCAAAAAAAATGCCTTAAAAGCCCATAATACTAACAAGAGAACGTATTATTCCTCCCAAATGTGATTTAAACTGTGCAGAAACAAATTTTGTTTTGCACTGGCATATATGCTTTGAAGTACATCTCTGCTTCTCTGGAGGAAAGCAGGCGTTTAGGCGAGTATAAGAGAATCCGAACCATCCAGAATATAAAATAAATTAAAACCTACTGATTAGGAGTTCTTAACAATGACTGTACAAAGAAAGATAACATCTATATCCAAAATTAAAGATATGTTTTATCCTGTCTGTCCTCCAACTTAGGAGCATTTTGACTGTAAGAAATAGCAGACTTCAAGTAGGACGTGCCTGGGCCAGCACGGTCCAACTGGCGCCCATCGCCTGAATCTGGACCACAGGATGCCTCCATATGGCCTGCCACCTTTTCCTTGGAGGAGATAGGGAACAGCTGTTTGAGGAGCAAACGCTGCCCGAACAGCCAAACACCTCCTCCTGTGTCCGGCTGGCTCAAAGCCCAGAGCTGTCGCCGTGTTCCTGTGGAAGGCAAGGAAGGAACAGGGGAAGGAGGCAGCAGACCTCCCACCCACGTAAGGACTTGAGCTCTTCATTTGTCTGAGAGGGACAGACGCAACCCAGCAAAGCCTGGAGCTGCTTCTGCGATGGAGTGGGGCAGCCACAGGAATGGCCCAGTGAAGCCCCAGGATCTGCTGTTACTGTCATCATAGCCGGGGGTGGGATATACCAGAAGTGACACGAAAATCAGGAATTTGGCACACGCTTGCAAAGCCTAAACCACCTTACAGTAGATACACTAAGTGGTACAGTACAAGCATACTGTCAATCTTCAGCTTGCTGCCAGCAAAACAGATTAATACAATATTTTGGCCTTCACAGAAGAAAAACACAGAAAAACATAAATATATTCTATTATTAACTGCCTATTGATTTATTATTGATCAAGCAGAACAACTGAGGCACTGAAATTCAGACAAAGCAAATTAAATAGCAACACTATTTTACCTTTGTAGCTGCTCACTCCATGCAATTTTAAATCTCTCCTTAAGGTGACATGTATAGCAGAGAAGTAAACAAAAGGTAAAGATTTTACAGGGTTTACAACTGTGCCATCTTTCTTCTACCCATTTTTCACAGTGTTGCTGACATCACTTCTGAAAAAAGCTATTTGACTGGCATGCCAATGAGTATAAATCAAGTAGGGGGAAAAACTGAGAATCCTAAAGATCTACCTAGTAGAGAAGCAAAACAATTCTGCTTCCAAATATATTTGCTTTTGACTGCATATTGGTTGAACTCTTTAGAAGCATTAAAATATTCTCTATTATATCAACTTAAAAATAATAAACAACTTCCAAACATTTGAATAAAGTGTTTTAAAAGGCAGGATACTTGTCTGAATTCAACTCGATTATCATTTAGCACACAAAAGTTAAATGGTGGTATCTTCAAGCCAAGTACAGAGAGACACCAGACGTTCTACTTCACGCTGACCTGGAAAATCATATGCTTATTGCAAAAGGATAGATTAAAAACAGCACAGAAAAATAACGTAAGAGCAGCATAAGTCATATTGAAAGCATCATCACAACTTCAAAAACTGGTGTAAAAATTAAGCTAGAGAGGTGAATTCCCAGCTAATACAACCAATAATGAAGAGTTTTAAAGATGATGCTATAATATTATTTTGAAATCTAGAATTTGATGTGTTAAACATCCTAACTAAAATGATATTCCAGTCTCCAACAGCTAATGACTGGATTTTAGAATTTCATTCACGCTAAATCAATTAGTCAAATTTTATATGAATAATAAATCAAATTTAGTATCTGATCAAAAGGGATTACAGCCTCCAGGAAATTAAGTTCTCTGTCCAATACGGCACATAAACAGATCAAAACATCTTTGGATGGATTACTGTAAAGCTTGTATTCACAATGGGACTACAATAACACTTTCACAAACAGTGTCCAGATGTCAATACACGCTAGTCAGAAAACTAGTATGAATGTGTTCCTGTGGAATACTGGATGAAAGAAAACTACAGATAATCTAAAAACTTCAAACCACTTCTACCAAACAGATTCTATATTGAAAAAAATATTTTAAAAAAGGGTGTGATTCATGGGGCAGCTTCTGCCTTCTTGAGTAAGAGTAGCTTGACAGAAGGCAAAGAAAGCATTGGCAAGTATTTGCTCATTAACTTTTCAAAGAAGCATAAAACCAAGTCAAAGAAAATTAAACTTACTTGCTAAAATGTTACTTAAATAGGTGACTTTGCTTTCTCCATTTGGTTTAATTCTAAAATTCTTACTGATCTTTCTTCTATTAGGGAGCCCAGTGCAGGACACAGCATTCTGGGTGTGGCCTCACCAGGGGCGAGTGGAGAAGGATCACCTCACTCGACCTGCTGCCAACACTCCTAATCCAGTCCAGGATGCCATTAGCCCTTTTTTGCTGCAAGGACATAATGCTGGCTCACCTTCAACTTGTCCCCAAACATACTAATGGGATTATTTCACTCCAAGTTCAGGACTTTGCACTTCTTGCTGAACTTCATCAACTGGCAGCCAATTTCTCCAGCCTGTCAAAGTCCTACTGGACGGCACCTTCCCAAGGACTGAAGTGAGGCTGACAGGCTTGTTGCCTAGGTCCTCCTTCTACCCTGAGGACAGGAGTGGCATTTGCTTTCTTCAAGTCCTCAGGAACTTCTCCCAGTCATCATGACCACTCAAAGATCATCAAGAGTCATAGAGTTTGTGCTGGAAAGGACCTTTAAGCATCACCTCATCCAATTCCAACCGTGATGAGCAGGGACATCTTTAACTAGATCAGGTTGCTCAGAGCCCCATCCAACCTCACCTTGAATATTTCTACTAATGGGCATCTACAACCTCTCTGAGCAACCTGTGCCAGTGTTTCACCGTCTCTTCCTTAGATGTAGTCTAAATCAACCCTCTCTTAGTTTAAAATTATTACCCCTTGTATTCTTGCAAACAAGCCCTGCTAAAAAGTTTGTCCCCGTCTTTCTTATAAGCCCCATTTAAGTACTGAAAGGCTGCACTAGGGTCTCCTTGCAGCCTTCTCTAGGATGAACAGTGCCAGCTCTCAGCATTTCCTCACAGGAGGGGTGCTCCAGCCCCCTGATCATTCTGGAGCTGTCCTCTGGACCTGCTCCAAAAGCTGCATGTCCTTCCTGTGCTGGGGACCCCAGA